GATAAAATCGAATAAAAGAGATCCTTGCGAGAGATGAATCCGCGCCGGTTAGAAGGATAGGCGGCTCGTTACGGGCTTCGCGTTGGGAATGACAATATTTCCAGGTAGCCAGTCCTCGTCAGGTGTTCGGAGTTACGATAACGTCTAATAACAGCAGCGATGGAAGTCGGCACGGACCGGTGCAACAGAGACAACGAGAGGAAAAAGAGAAGGCCAGCGCGCGGCTCCGTGACACGCTGCATCGGGCCAGGTGGCCGACCGATTTGCCGCGACCACAATGACGCGTGGGCCGTGGAATTGTCCCGCGTCCGGCCTTTCTACCCTCTCTCTCTCTCTCTCTCTCTCTCTCTCGTCTATCCTCGACACATGACGAAACCGACCCGTGAGAGATCTCTCGGAGAAATTGCATCGAACGTTACGCGATCGCATTTGATTTACGATTATTTTCGTGCATTCCATTTCCTGTTGTTGGATCGAGAGAACTCGGTTTAAAATCGAAACTTTAGCGGAGATTAGAACGAAAGAGACGTGGATATATATAAAATCGATATCGTCGTCGACAATCCTTCTCTCGACGCCATCGAGATTAGGCGTCGTTCCCTGGCACGAACGCGCGCGGAAGGAAGAGACGGTGTCCCGTTCAATTCGTCGCGCGTGGGCGTCGGTCTAAGAAACGATTCTAAGCGTCGTCACCACTCGGTCAACGGAGTTCTTTGGCTCTCTCGAAGCCATCCCTCTCCAAAGCCCCCTCCTTCCTTCTTTCCCAGCCCGCCCGATCGGGCAGCCTTGATGAATACCAACGATCGTCACTTCCTTCCTCCCGTGTCAATGTGTTCTCCCGTCGCAGTGGCTGTTGAATTTCAATTCAACGTGCCTCCTTTCGATGCACGAATTCCTCCCGCTTGTCCGATTCTAATCTACTGCTATTATATTTCGATCGAAAGAAAGAGAAAGAGAAAGAAAGAGAGAGAGAGAGAGAGAGAGAACGAAACGAAAGAAAATTTTCGAATAAGATCGAATTCGTTTAAAATCAATATGTTAATTTACATAATAACGTTCACCAAATCGATCAAAATGTCTAACCATACGTATGAATTGCAAACAGCTCGTTCGTATAAACCGAGTTCTCTCTATCCAACGTCAGTTACGAAGAAATCCGGTAAGATATCGTTTATCAAATATCAAAACCTCTGGAAAATTGACCAGACACATCAGCGAAGTTTAACAAGTTTTTAAACACTCGAATTAAACGATCTTTAAAGAGTTTTAATAAATTTTATCGGGAATATGTAATACATCATCGAGCAACGTACTCATTTACAACTTGTTCAAATAAGAAAAGGATTTAGCTTATTTTTCGAATCCATTGCGTGGAAAGTACTACTAATACTACTCTTAACCACCACGAAATCAAGTGTTTCGATACTTTCGAATCCGAGTCGAGTACAACAACAAGTTTCACTTTCCAATTTTCAATTACTCGACAATCGACAAAGCGTCGTTGAAACTATCCTTGCTAAAGCGTAATCGTTTCACGACGTTTCGAAACAAGTGTGTTATACGAATAGAAACAAGTACAAACCCGTAATAAACCGTAACAGTTTCAATGTTAAGAAAGATTCGAATCTTTCGCAACTGCCTACTCCCACGTAGTCCGCCGTCCCATCATCTCCACCTCCGTTACCCTCTCTCGTAGGAAAGTCGAGGAGAGAAAATAGTCGGCGCGATTGTCGGTGGATTGGCACGTGGCTCGTCGCCGGTCCATTATAAAACACCGTGTTACGTGCGTGGGCCGCGCGCGTAAGCATCGCTAGGTGTGCGCGTCTCTTTCCCTCTCTTTTCCCTTCCTTTCTTTTTTCTTTCTCGCGCGAGCCACGAATGCACACGCACTCGGCTCGGTCGCAAGGATTTTTAACGGTGACGAGGCGGCGGGCCGCTGTGTGCATACACGTATATACGTGTGTGTGTGTGTGTGTGTGTATATATATATATATACGCGGCGATTTCAATGCGATACTTTCAGCCGTGGCTCCGATTCGACATATCTCGATCCGGTTCGCCCACGGTGGACCCGGAGCCACGTCGATGGGTATGAATATGCAACGATAACGCGCGCGATTTATTTATAAGTATGACGCGGGGATCGATCCCTCGAGGTGGCAGGCGTGAAAAATCGGCGTAATATTATCAAAACGCTGATGTTACGAAACCGATGGAAAGCGGCCCGCGCCGATATCACGGCCGGGAACTCGACGTATACGCTGGTGGAATCGATTAATCTTTCGTTTTTTGGACGAGAATATAAGAGTGGATAGGGATTGGATGGAAATTTTTATTATTATTATTATTATTATATATAATATAATCGCGTTGTAATCGAATTTGTTAAGGAAAAAGGTAACTCGGATAAGAAGAAATAGATGATAAAAAATTTTAAATTCTAAACGGTTATGGATTTAAGGCGAAAGAAAGGATTATCTCGTCGACGTAAGTTCGAAGGCTCGTCGAAAGGAATCAAAGAATCGAACAATCAACGTTTTCGAATAAATATATATACGAGACATGCAAGATATTACAAGATTGAATTCTGTATTGGATACGTGGATCAGAAAAACTTATTTCGAATCTACTTCAAACATTTCCACGTAACTCCAAATCCCGATCGAATGTAATGAAAGAGTCCGTTCGAAGTGGTCCACCCTGTACAGGGCGGCGAAACGTGTCCGCCTCCGATTTTTCCCCGCTATTTTTCGCGCTATCGTATGAATTGTGGAGCAGTGGGGCCGATTGGTTATCTCTATTCGCGTTCCAAGTTAATTCGAGAGTGCACGCGCGCGATAAATTAGATAGAACGGAACTATTTCTCCGATCCGAGAAATCGATCGCCGCCCGAATTTATGCCCGACACGTGTGGGATTATGAGAGCCTTCCCTCCTCCTCCTCCTCCTCGTCTTTCTGGCCGCGTCGTCTTTTCTGCGATCGGAATTCGCGCGGATGGAAGAATCTTTTCAGAGAATCAAGGATCTGTCGTGGCGGCGCGTGGTAAATCAACCGTCTCGAAATGGAATGGCGATAAGTTAAGAGGGACTCGTTAAAATTCGAGTAAGTTTGAGTTGTACACGTGTAACGTACACCGTGTGTTCCACTTTTCACGTTGGATAATTTTATCAAAAAGTTGTTCGGCGAGAATGCGGAGGGAGAAGGATTAGTTGCAGTTGTACAGCGAATCGGGGAATTTTTAAGGAACGAACGTGTAAGAATGTGTATATATATATGAATCTTGTATTGCCAAGAATAGATGGAGCCTTTAGGAATATTAATTCGACGATAACGATTACTCCTTCGATATTGATGCCTATTTCTACATAAAATTTTTTTCTTATTTAATGATGGAAAAAACGTTGGTTGGACACAGAGAATTTGCACTCGAGAGAAGCATCGGGGAAGTGTCCTAAGTGAAATCGTCAACGAGTCGCCTCCATCGGCGAGTTGAACGCGTGGTCAAGAGGTAACGACTCGGCCTACGCGCCTCCTCTCCGATTATCCGCTGAATAATTCGCGCCCTTTCGGCGGAACTTAAACTTTGAAATCTAGGGTTTCACTTCGCGTGGACGAGAGATTACATTAGACACGGTTCCCTCGTGCACGAGGCCGTAAAAGCCGCTTTTACGGCCGTCAAGGGGCGAGAAATTTACGATTCTGCTTTTTATTTAATTAATTTAAACGAAAGATCGACGTAGACACGAGTAAGAAAAAGCAAAGAATATCGCCATTCTATTATCGGATTGGATTGGATTTTTCACGAAAAACGTGTCGAATCGTGCAAGCAAAATTGTATTCAAAAAGAGATATATATATATATACTTTCAATCGAAATCCTCTTCGAAACGGGTGAATAGTATTCGAATATTTTCGTGATTCGCCGTACAAGATGGTTTCCTAAGAGGAAACCAGGAGATATCGCTTTAATCGACGGCGGGGCCAATTAGCCGGCCATTACGAAATTCGTTTGGTCGGTGAAGCGGTGAAAATGTTGGCCGCCACGAGTTCTTCTTTTCCTCACATGTGAGCGGGCAAAGACAAAAACAAGCTGGACCGCTGTTATAATGGAAAATAAGGCTCGTCGCGTGGGACGTTTCATTAATGAAGATGTCTCATTAAGCGGCTCCTCGAGCGCGGTTAAGTCTCGAGGTTATCGGCTCGCCACTGGCTGGAAACGAGGTCTTTTCTCGGCCCATGCCGCCCGGTATAATTTTGACATAATTTTCCATTACGAAACTCTCTACGCGCATCTTTATGGCCCCTGCTCGTTTTCGAATTTCGTTGACCCCTTTCGTACCCCTACGACCGATAATTACACTTGCACATCGTGTTCCTCGATTACTTAAATTACCGAATGTCTTAATCGCGGATAACACGGAATCGTTCGAATTGGTTAGATGATCCTCGCACGACCCGCTTCCTCTCGGAATTTTTTTCGAGGATTTTCGATTCCGCGTGGAATCTCGAGGCGCCTCGAGATGAAATTCTCTTTCCTTTCCTTTTTTCTTCTTTCTTTTGGAAGAAACGTGTTCCCCACAGCGTGGAATGTCGAAATTATTGCACCGTATGGGCACAATGTTTGGCATACGCGATAAAATGTCGTAACGAGCCTCTTACTCCTGTCAGAACACCAGTTGTGCTCCGTGTTATTAGCGGAGGGAAAAAGAGGAGAAATTTCAAGAGGATTAATAACGGTTAAAACGAGAACAAGCTTATAATACCAAATAATTAATTATTTTCGAACGAAAATAACGAAACTTTGTAGTACACGCGTCCTTATATATATATATATATATATAAAGAATGTATAAATACTTCGAATAACATAATCCGGTAATAACAACACGTTCAATCGTCGACACTCGAAAATCAAAACATTTCTTATATCTCTGCGAAACGTTAACGTATGTAAACACAACATTTACGAAAACAAAACAAAAGTCGAGGAATTGCGTAGAATCACGGTCGAATCAGTGTAACGTCGACCGTGGAACGCGATGGAGGTAAATTTTATACGTTAAAATATATTATACATTTTATACATTATATATCAATCTTATTATATTATTATATTAAGATCCACCGTGCCCACGTTCGAGGCCTATCGAACCATCGAATCGACCTTAAATTACACGCGGTTCCCTCGTCGAACTCGTCTCTCCAAGTCTTTTTTGAGTCACACCCGGGTCCAGCCGCACGGACATAATAATGGCGTTCTCGCGGAGGAAGAGAGACAACTTAGATTCGCGAGAAAGAGAGAGAGATACCGGGTCCAGGATGGAGGAGCGAGACAGAGAGAGAGAGAGAGAGAAGGATACTCGGTCTCAAATCGGCCCGCACCCTTCTGCCAACAGAATTTACGATTGTCCACGCGAAAGCGTAGGTAATCGTCGATGATATCACCGTTATAAATAGGCACGCCTCCTGTCCCCCGTATATTTATACCCGCGCGCACCGTATACACCTACCTGTCCACGCGAATATTCACGCGCGCGATTCCTTCTCCCCCTTTGCCCATGGTGGAGTGGATCTGACCGTGTACACACGTACACACGTACAGGTGTACAACTCGTGCCTCTCCTCCTGAATAGCGAGGTTGGAATTACGGGGGCAGCTGCCCACCGGGGAGCAAGTTTTCACCGCCGGGAAACGCCGTGTTCTGGATATTCCGCATAGCGCCGGTTTTATCCCCGATCGAGGGGGCGAGAATTCGAGTCGAGGGGGGAGAGAGAGAGAGGGAACGAAAGAGTTCG